CCCCTTGTCTCCACCTCCATCCTGTTCCTTCCAGGCCCCTGACCAGCCCACCAGGACATTGGCCACTGCCCCTGAATCCGTAGATATTCTCAACTGGGCCACTTTTCCGTCCACACAAAGGGCATGACCAGGTGCTTGAAGCTCTGCCCACTGGAAAGATGTGTCCCTCGTCTCAGCTCCAACACAGCAGCAGACCCCAAAGGCACTGCCACTGGGGGCTGTCAGCTCACTGCACCCCCTTACACCCCACGGCCCCCTGGGCCTCATGCCCTGGCACTCCCCGTCCCCTGCCTTGCTTCATTTCTCTCCAGAGCACTTGTAACCTCTGACGTGTGCGTTACTTACTGCGTTACACTTGCCTCCCTACACTAAAACGACTTAGCAGAGAGCCTGAATTTAGGTGCTTAATAAAACCTTGTTGAATGGACAAATGAACCAATCAATTGATGAGTCAGTAGGGGAGCCATCTCCTAGGGAAGGTTTGCAGGGGGTCTGGTTTGGCTAATCTGGCTACGGTTTGTGTGGATGGGGCATTTGCCCAATGGCTTCCTTGTTGGACTAGACAATTTGCACCCCAGATGCTGGCTGTTTTGACAAATGAAGAAACCAGGGTCCCAGGCCACTCTCTTTGAGGGGGTCTGGGTGAGCCGAGAGTAGGGGTTTGCCCTTGTCCCCCAACCCTTAGCCAGCTTTTCCCAGCGTCTTGGAGGGTTCCCAGCCATCCTGGGGCCTGAATACCCAGTCCTTGGGTCAGAACCCCCAGGGCAAGATGCCCTGTGGACAGCCACATGGGGACCTGCCTCATTCACTCTGAATTGCCTTGGCCAAGTTAGGTCCAGCCCAGAGGACACCAGGCTCCTGTCCAGACTAGGTCAATGCTCTAAGAGTTGGTACATTTGCTGGCCTCAGGGCCCTTGACCTCAGGGCCAGGAGTGTAGCCATTAAGAGAGGAGCATCTGGCCTTGTGTGACCTGGGGCAGGTAGGTGGCTTCCCCGCTCTGGACAGGGGCTACTGGTTCTACTCTCCTTGTAGGGGGAGTGGGGAGCTAATGAGGTCATGCATCTAAGTGCAGATGGGGGGTACTCACCACCCTTGGCCATGGTCATCCTCAAACCTCTGGGCCAATCCTGGCCCTCCCTCTCCTGGTGGCCTCCCTTCACAGAGGAAGATCTCCACGCTCAGAGAAATTTGGTAACTCCCCCGAGGCACACAGCTGGGCCCCCGGTGCCTAGGTCTGAACTGAGTCCATCTCTCCCCCCCCCCAGCTGTGGGTGAGAGACCACCAAGGAAAGCCCCAGAACACTGATAGCCACAAGGACAACTGTGGCTAGGCTTGACTGAGACTGTAAAGGGGCCGCCCTCTACACAGACTCCCCCCTGACTCAGCCCTCTACCCTGACAGTAAGCAGCACACAGTCTCCATTCCAAAGTGGGGATCCTGAGGCTGGGGAGGGGGCTCCCAGCCAGTGATTGAAAGAGCCAGAGCCCCCCTCTCAACCCCTATCCAACTTCATCTCCCAAGGCCCGGGGGCAGGGGAGCACCCCCGCAGCACTGTCTGGCCAGAGCTGGCCTCCGGGGAGTTGGGGAGGAGCAGGGCCTGGGGGCTCCACTCAGCAGGCAGCTGCTGGCTGAGCAGGGGTCCATGAGTGCTAACTCAGCACCAGAGGCTCAGGAAGTCGCGGACGATGGGAGCAGCACCTTGTTGCCCCTCCAGGAACTCTCCACCCCGGCTTGTCTCACCATCAACCAGCTGCCTGGTCCTGGCACAGCCCTGCCCACCAGGCACGTTGGGGTGCAGTGAGGGGAAGCTGGGGGAGCCTGTAAGAGGAGCAGGGCTTACTGGTGGAGAGGAGGAGTGTAGCCAAGTACTCAGGAAGAGCTTCTGGGAGGATGAGCTGGAGCCCCCCACCCATCCCCCAGCACAGGCTGCGAGAAGCCGTGAAAGAGGGGGTCTGCTGGGGCAGGATCTGGGGTCTCCTCCCTGCAAGCAACCCTGAGGAGGCAATAGAGGGAGCCCAGCCCCCACTCCCCAAAGTTTGTGAAGCACCTCTTGGGGCTAGGGGAAGGGGTGGGTCCTGGCATGATCAGACAGCTGCTATAAGTGTGGGGGTGCCCGTGCATGCCAGTGCCTCCGGGGCCGTCTGCCACCCCTCCTTTCCTCCCGGCAGCCTCGCAGCCCCCACCCCCACACGCAGACACGCGTGTTCCCATCCTCTTTGAGGCTTCTGCAGATGTGCGCCGCTGGCGACAGAGCAGAGAGTCACTGCTTCCCTCTCCCTCAGGCACTGTTCCCTGCTGTCTGCTGTCTGATGGGTGTCTAACTGCCATTCGTGGATCCCTAGCTGGGCGGCTGTTTCCCTGGTCTGTAGGTGTCTGTGTGTCTGCGTGTGGGCGTGTCTGTCTGTCTCGCCGTGAGTGTCTCCTGCTGAATCTGTCCTTGACCCTGTCTATCTGAGCGTGTGTCTGGGGGGAGGGGGCTCTCCCTCCTGCCGCCTCTCCTCCTCCATACCCGCAGGCGCTAATGCCGCTGCCGCCGCCTTCGCTGTGCTCCGATCGCAGTGACCTCGTCTGTCCCTGCAGCAGCGACCGCCCCACCGCGCTGTCCACCAGGGGGAATCTTGGCCGGGCTCCGAGCCGCTGGCTGCTCCGTCCTCAGCCTGCGGCCGCCTGAGCCCCAGGTGGGAGCGCTCCTCTCCTGGCTGGGTCCACTGGCTCCCCATCTTCCCTTATGTAACTCCACATCTGTCTGCGCCTTGCAGGTCACCCTGGACCCTGCGCTGGGCCCACGGGGAGACTGAGACCCAGAGTCCCATGCACATGGGGGTGGCGTGGACCCCTGGCCAGCGCACGCGCTCTGGGAGACCCCTCCCATCCTTCCTCCTTGGGACGTTCCTTCCCCCAAGACCCGCTTGCCCGAGCGCGAAACAAGGCGGGTCCCGCGGGTCAGGTTCCCCGCGCGCGGGCGCAGGTATTTCCTCCGCCCCCACTCCAGGTCCTTGCAGGTGCGCAGGATCCGGACGGAGGCCTGCCAGGAGTCAGCGGGCCTGAGGGCACGGGACAGTCCGAGCGGCCCAGAGGCCGGCTCCTGTGTGCGCGGGCCGGCCGACCGCAGGCGAGCCCCCAGCGCGGCGCCCGCCCTGCCGGGGCCGGGC